AAAACAGTGGCCTTACAATTATTCGCGATGATAATTATTCTGATCAACAACAACAAGTAACATATCATACAATCAATATTGTTGGTTATGGTAATTTTCAAGGTACAGATTATTGGATCATACGAAACAGTTGGGATATAACATGGGGTGATAAAGGTTATGGTTATATTGTTGCTAACAAAAATCTAATGCAAATTGAACAATATGCATTTAGTGCTTATCTCTTGTAGTTGCAAAAAAAAACTAGAATTACTAAACTAAAATCCTATATCATTTATAATCAGGATAATTGAAAATGATTCAATAAAAATTTTAATTTTGAATTTTTTTTCTTGTTTGAAATTTTTCAATTGTAATTAATTTTTAATCATAGATACTGAAGATAAAATTAGGTTTTTATAGATTAAAAAAAATCAAAGTCACACACATTCCATTGATTGATTGATGTGTTATTCAATTTTGATTTTTTCAAAATTTCAATGAAAGGTTTTGGATTTTTTACAAATTTTTTTTGTTCTTTGATAAAAATGGTAATAATAAAAAGCAGGAAAAACAATATTCCAGGAGAAAAACAAACAAACAACAACATTTAGATTTTATTGGAGAATTTTATTTTGAGAAAATCATCATCATCATCATAAAAAAACCAGAAAACAACAAAATATTTTTGCCTTGCTAATTGATCAAAACGATGAAATCCAGGATGCAATTAACGACATTAAAACATTTATGATTTCTTTTATCTCTGTATATTTAAGCATCAGCATTTTTCAATCTAACCCATATTTTGCATTGTTTTGTTTTTGTGTTTTCTTTTTCATTGAACTTTGAAATATGAAATTTATTTTTGCCATTTTCGTTGTCATCACCACTGTTTTGTTGATATTCAGCAATGTTTTGGCTCGTCCATCATCGTTGATACGAACATTTGATGAATTTAAAGTTGTTTTCAATAAAACCTATGCTACCGATGAACAAGAAGAAAATGCCCGGGAAAATTTCCAGGAATCATTGAAATATGTTCAATCAACTGACAATCCAAGTGTTGCCATTAATCATTTGTCCGATTTGGTAAGTGTTAATCAATCAATCAATCAATCAAATCTAATCAATTGATTTAGTCATTGGAAGAATTTGAAAACCAATTTCTAATGAA